ACATTCTAATTCTGTCATATCAATATTTACTAAGGAAAAAAATTAAATGATTGACGAAACTACAACCCTTGATTTGAATACTAGACAAGTAATCACAGAGTATAACATTTGATTTAAAATAAATAACGTGACTCTCATGAGAGTTAAATAAAATAGTTAAGTTCTTGAAGTTTTAAAAATTGAATCATTGAGTTTATAAGTCCTTCACCAAAAAGATAAACACTTGACCCTTTGAGTTAAAATGAAAATTCCTTCCACCTTTTCAAATTGAAGGAATATTGTGATAATAGCCTGTTTATATTTTTAAAAAATTTCAGGATTGCAATACTTACTATTATATTATATATTACACTTACTATATATTACGTAAGTGAAAGTAATAGATGTTTCATGAGCAAAAACCTGTTCGTTTATTGTATAATAAATAAGGAGCCTTCCAGACTATGTGACTTTTTTCCTAAATATCAAACACACTCGTAATTTTAAACTGGAAACAAGGACGAGCTAAAGAGTGGAGAGTGAATTAGATTGAGCTGTCAAATGTCCGAGCTGTAAATCCGGCTAGAGTCGACTACTTGAAGTATTTTTTCATATGGATGAGAATATCTCGAAAACTAAAAATCAGACCTGCATATTGTTATTGAGGGAAATATTCATCATTTGATCCTCTTTGTAATGAGCTGTTATTGAAAATGATATCTTAACGTGACGTCATGTTAGAGAGGCGAAAAGGGAAAAAATATTGTCGAAAACCGAATGATAACGAGTTTTATGGAAGATATGGATTAAGATATCTCAGAAACTAAAAATCGGACCTGCATACTATAAGCGAAGGAAATGTTGAACATTTCATCCTCTTTTTGATGAGCTATTATTTATAATTTATACTTCATATTATTAATCTCGACTTGTTGATGTTTTCACTTCTATCGTGTTGTCTAAAGCACACACCTTTTTTTTAATTTTTAAAGGTTTATTTTATGACATCGCTGATTCTTTTACATAACTGTTACTTTATTTATTGAAGAGATCTGGACGTTATTGGTGAAAAGTAAATAAAACGAAAGCTGGTTATATTGTGTGTGGCAGGCCTGGAAGGTAGCGGCCTGTAGGGTGCCGTGGTCGGGAGCTGTATCGTTTTACGACAAAACATTTACGTGACGGCTGTTTACGATCCCTTCCTCCGTGGAAAAAGAGTTCCCCGGAGGAAGGTAAAACTGTCGTGACCTCTTTGAAGGGTTCGGTGCCCATTTTATCGATAAGATACCGGTCCATTAGTTCGTTCGGGAACGACTCTCTCTTACTTTATTATAGCATTTACTTAATTTACCGTGCCTCTTTAGCGCTCTGGGGAAGTTAGAAAGGATTTGAATTGAATTATAAATCTTTTCATTTCCTTATTTGGAACATTTCGATTATCTAGTTATACGTTAGAATTGAGAGTAAAATATTTAGCTTATTGAAAATTACCGCAAACACAAAATAAATATCTTACAAAGGCTTATAGACGTTTATATGATTGGATTTGGAGAATATAAGAAATAAAAGATTATGGTTAATGAGTGAACTGAACATGAATTCATATCAGAACACTAGCGGATCCAGGATCTAATTTTGGGGGGGCTTCAGCCCGAAAGCCATTTTTTTTCATAAAAATAACGATAATTACTTTGGAAAAAAAGAAAGAAACTAACTACTTGTATGAAATGGTGTTTAAGTGATTCCTAAAGCCCTTTTAAATGTAATTACACAAACAATAATACTTTAAGAGATACTTTTTTAATATTTTTTTTTCGATAAAACAGGGCTATATTTTAAATTTGGGGGAGGGAGGGAAGGCTTCAGCCCGAAAGACCCCCTCCCCCGTAGATCCGCCCGTATATCAGAACATATAAAACTACTAAGAGCCACTGTCAGTTTTCATTTACCTAACTTATCGTTTAACAACAGATCGCACTTGACTGCCTGTATTTAATTTACGTAATTTTTTTTTTTGTTAACGAAACTGCGTTCCTTACATCTTTCAAGTAATAGCTGTATATTCTCCAAAGTTTATTCGAAAACGGTCCAAGGGAACTGTTTGTATCTATTCGTGTGTATTTGTTCCAATACATTGTTTGTCATCTTTGATAATTTTAGAAGAATTACATACATAAATATTAATTGCGATGTTCGATATTATTTTAATAATATTGTCCTTTAATTCAAAAGGGCCTTAAGCAACTTTTAACTTGTTGCTGCTTTCTGACTAAAGTTTTAGATGAAATATTAGACGAAACTAACATGCTACACTCGATCTGGGCATCCCAAAACTTTCTCATCCTGACATAAGTCTCTGCTATAGTAATTTTATTTGAACTTAGTTTTCCAACTATTGTATTTCTACTTATAATTCGTTTCGTAAACTAACAAGAGGTAATCAAACCTAAAAGAAAAATAATTTATATCTCCAATCCCTGTATATGCCTTTCGGAGACATTATATATTTTTTTTATTTTTATTTTATATTTATTTGTTATCTTTATTATAAATCACAGACGTATTTTTAGTAAATAGAGCTGTGGATTGATCTAAAGATATGGTATGCCATGATTACTAGTTTTTGATTTAGTTGTGAGTAAATGCCTATATAATATTTCCTGGTCAGTTTCTCTTTTTTCTTTTGGTTTATCAAACTTTCTAGCTTTCAAATTTCATAATTAATTTCACTTTTAATTGTTCTATATTAATTCATGTTGTTATTTGTAACATCTATCGAATATTCCCAAACAATATACAATTGTCAAATTCAAAACAATTTCAATACGCGCACAAATTCATATTGCATATTAATCTTATACATATTTTTTTCGAGATAGGTTTCTGAATTAATTGTTAAATTTCGAACTCTATAATTTTGTTTTTCTGATATTCTAGGACGATTGTGTTTTCGCATTTTTTTAATGCAATGTAGAATAAACTATCTTAGGAATCTATCGCTCAAAGCTACCACAAACACTACAATATTGTACCAACAATCCTTTTTTAATTTTTTTATTTATTTTGAAATCACGTTGGTTTGCCTAAATAATGTTTGTGGAGGAATAGTTTTAAGAATTGGTATCATTAAAATAATTGCCTATTTTACACAAATACTTTTTTTTCCACAAAAGGTGATTGTTATTATCAATTTTTCCCAGCCTTGAAAAAAAACAACGTTTTTTTATTGTTATTTTCGGAAACTCAATAACAGCCTTATGCATGTTTGTTTAATCACATCTTATGTATTTATAAACATGTAAATCTTTTTTTTTTTTTTTTGTATTGTCCCTCACTATGCAATTATTTAGATAATTAGCTGAGGAAATTGGCGTGTTGAAAACATAACTGCACTTATGCGTTGTACTGCACGCGTTGTATCTATTTGTTTGATTTTTTTTTCCATTTCCGTTTTCAAGGTTAATAGTCTCTCTGAGATATTACTTGCACATTGATTTATGAACTACGGTAATAATAATACTTTATGAATTCAAGCGCTGTGTTCATAACTCGCATACAAGCCATCTTATCAACTATTTAAAATCTTGTAATTTGGAATTTTTTTAATGTCTTTGGACACCATTGACCTATATCTCTGGTTACCTCCGCCATCTTATTTCTAGATTGTAAAGTTATGATTCATGTTGCGTAAAACCTACTTTAGGATATGACAACAGAAAACTAGATTTCAAAAGTCAATGAAAAGAAACAAAAACATTTAGTGCAAAACTATATTAATATTGCTCTATCTCGAATATAGAAAACGTGACTTTATACTTTACTACCTAATTATAAAGTATATGTACTCGTTCGACGCACAATTTAACGTTCTTTAATCTATTAAAGAATATATTTTTCAATTTTATGCATCGTTTAGGAGTTATAGGTGAAAAAACAAAAAAGTATCTAAAAAATCTGACTTTTTTAGTTGTAATATTTTTTCCATTGGTGGCCCGTTCGCAATTTAGTTTTTTACATGTCTAAACTCATATATACAAGTTAAAAAAATTTAAAAAATTCACATTTTTCGCAATAGATTCCCCGTTTCGATCCTCAAATTACTGGCCTGATATTCTTTAAATCAGTCGCCATTTTTGAAAGCAGCGGCTCCGGAACGGCAGACAAGGTTCTTTTTACTCCTGGGTTTTAAAGTCCTAAAATGTACTGTTTTCGAGGTAAACCATTATTCTTGCCGAAACTTTCTTATGCGATGGGGTTTTCGATGGATGCTTACAACGTGTTTAGGATTACAATATTAATATTTATGATAGTTTTCGACGAACTAAAAATCTATTGAAAAGGTAAGATGGTGGTTCTGAGATCCTTAGGGCAGCTGAGATAATATAGAAATGTTTTGATATAATTAATAAAAACATCTAGGTATGGCTTCAACAGAATTCTGTACTCTCAGTAATTGAATTTAATACTCTTAGCAAATTAGAGAAATAGAAACACAGGATCTTCTTCTCCAGACAAATAGGCGTTGAGCTATTAGAATAATGGATTAGTATAAATTCAGCTGTGTCTTATCTCTTATCTATTAAACTGGAGGAATCTTTTCTAGTGAGACAAGCTAATCTCTTATTAAGTACATTATTACTTTAACGGTAGTGATAAAGTATAAAGCTTCATCGATTGTGTGTTGAATAGGCTATCTTGATACTATTATATTGTATGTTCGAATAAACATATTCCGCTGATATAGCTTATACGCGTCAAATGCATTAGGGATACCTATCTGATCTGTGAATTCTCACTGTGGTATACTAATTTTATTTATTGAGTTGATTAATTTTGAAGCTGTAAGGTATGGTATGTTTCATCTATTTTGTTTTATTAAACTTTATTGGTTTATCATAGTGTACGATCTATTTTTGTATTTCTTATGATGTTGAATTTACAAAACACAAGAGTACATTTTCCTGAGCTGGTGAAAACTAGAGACGATCAGCTACGAGAGAAGGAGACGGGATGAGGAGAGGATGGCTCCGATAGGGGTTAGGTCGGGGAGCCCTAGGGAGCCCCCGCTGCTGACCCTATCACCTCCCCCGCGGGCCGTGTCCCCGAGCCCCAGGAGGGACGTCACCCCGCAACTGCGGCCCCACAGCCCCCGCCGCAGGAGGGAGGTCCCCGCCGTCCTCTGCACCCCGCCCGAGGGGGAGGTCAAGAAGTCCAAGTCTATACAGGTCTTGTCTATACAGGCTCTCTTCAGTATACTATAGTTTTAGGATGTCTTTACAGGCTGTCTTCAGTATAGTTATAGTTTAAGGATGTCTATACAGCCTGTCTTCAGTATAGTTATAGTTTAAGGATGTCTATACAGCCTGTCTTCAGTATAGTTATAGTTTAAGGATGTCTATACAGGCTTTCTTCAGTATAGTTATAGTTTTAGGATGTCTATACAGGCTCTCTTCAGTATAGTTATAGTTTTAGGATGTCTTTACAGGCTGTCTTCAGTATAGTTATAGTTTAAGGATGTCTATACAGCCTGTCTTCAGTATAGTTATAGTTTAAGGATGTCTATACAGCCTGTCTTCAGCCCAGTTATAGTTTAAGGATGTCTATACAGGCTTTCTTCAGTATAGTTATAGTTTAAGAATGTCTATACAGCCTGTCTTCAGTATAGTTATAGTTTAAGGATGTCTATACAGGCTTTCTTCAGTATAGTTATAGTTTTAGGATGTCTATACAGGCTGTCTTCAGTATAGTTATAGTTTTAGGATGTCTATACAGGCTGTCTTCAGTATAGTTATAGTTTTAGGATATCTATACAGGCTGTCTTCAGTATAGTTATAGTTTTAGGATAGGATTAGTTCTAGACCGAGAGCTGCAAGGTTCCAATTACCAATAGCAGCATTAAGCTTGAAACGTGGAGATGTACAATATTTAAGAAATGTTACAATATTTAAAGAAATAGATTTTTGATCATGACATGTAATTCGAGTGTTTCAAAACTTTTAATCTCTCCAAGACCAGTAAAATTAACCCGAAGTATCCATTTCCTCTCAAGGGCACATGAACTCCCTGCATCTCCTAAGAGATTTTATTGCCCTCATCTTCTTTAAAACATTATATGCTAAAGTAGAATTAGATTACACTTATCGTGATCTGGTTCATATTTTTGCCCTTGTTCTCTGGATTGAAACTTGTCGTTAAGAAAATTCATACCTAACCCGCAACTTGCGCTATGAATCCCCTTCTGGACAATCCTGAAGTTAACTCTTTAACGATTCACTAGTTCAGGAGGATCAAAAGTACAGCAAAGGTCCACATCAATTCTGACCTAAAAAACACTTGTCTCATCAACGTTAAAAAAAACATGCAATCAGTCAGAAGCAGCACTTCAAGACATCTCAATGCCTGATATATCTTTGGTCAAAAATTATGTGACGTTATCCCTGTCCTGAAGATGCCTAAAGACTGGTTAGTTATCGCCTGGTGTATAGATTAAGGCTTTGTTTCTAACATTTTCTAATTTTAATGTAGGCGTCTATTGACAAAAAAAATAATAATAAAATAAAAATAAATAAAAAATAATCTGCCTTCCTTTTAGCTTTTTTTTTTTTTTTTTAATGAAAATTGGATGTGTAGTAAATATTTGTTTTACTTTTATAATAAACTTTTTGGAAATAGATCTAGAAAAAAAATAGCTGTACCTGTTGTTTATTTAATTTAGACATATATTTTTTATTAGTGCTATTATTTTTTTTTATTATTTAATTATTTGTCTTCTTCATTTTTTTTTTTTTTTTTTTTTATGATTCAATACACTTCATTCTATACAACTTACATTTTTATTCATTGATTTTTATGGATTCATTTTTCCATACTTGTTGTCTCAGTTACTACTGCTTCTCATTTCTCATTTTTAAGATAAAAGAAAAATATAAATAAATAAATTATCAATGACCTATAGATACCATTGAATTTTGATTTTGTAACAGGCAATGGAATCCTGTGAAACAGATGTTATAATTATGAAGGAGGCTTCAACAAAAAGAAAATCCTTAATAAAAAAACAAAACAAAAAAATTGCAGGCCCACGGTTTAACAAAAAGGTTTATACATATTAAAACTTAACCGTAATCCCCTGACAATTATATTATCCTGTAGTTTTTTTACCATCCCTTGTCTCACAGATTCCAAAATAAATTAAAATGGTGTTCTAATATCGGACAAAGGATTATTAACATGATCGCCTTCAGATGGACGTCTCATCCTAGGTACCATTGAGAATTTAATAAAGTTTAATTAGCGTCCCTCCGCTATGGAACTGGTTGAATATTCCACATCTTGTTCCCTCCCCCCCAAAAAAAGTTGTGGTTATTTTTAAAACTTATTTTATAACCTTTAATCCTTTTTTATTGTGATAATATTTGAATTAGCAATTTTTTACACGAATAAAAAAACGCTGCAAATTATTTCACAATGGTTTATTATTTTCAAACAATTATACATTTAAAGTAAAGAAATAAAAAGTGATTCCAATTATTGGACCAAACATGTTTTTTTAATCATTGGTAATATGCTAACAAAATTAGCATTACTTCACACATTCACATTCAAAAACCAAAAACCAAATCAAAGGATATAACTTTTGCAGTGTAACATGTAAAAAACATCTAGAGACCACATCTTTGCTCCTAATTGTCCGATTTAACGATTATTATTTTTTTTTTTTTTTTTTTTTTTTTTTTAGTTTTTTAGAAAATCCCATCAACTTTAAAATAACCATATACAATATTAACAAAAAAAGTTTATACTTTTTGAGTTATTCGGAATCTAATTTTACTATCCCTCGTAACTTTTTTTGCTGCTCCTTTTCGTTAAAGTATATTATATAGATACATTTAAAGGGCATCGAGAATAACACTAGCGAAGTTTCATTGAAATCGGTACATTCGTTTAGGCGCTACAGTCTATAGCAACGCAGGTTTTTCGGTCGCCATCTTGAAAGGAAAAGGCGGATAGAAATGCCGATGAAGGAGAATCATCCTCGTGTGACCTCTAATTTTAAAGCCGAATTTGGAAAAAAAATCGATCCAGTAGTTTCGGAGAAAATGCGCGGACGGCGGACAGACAAAAAAATTTGTATTGAATTCTACGTATCCTAAAACGTAATACCTCAAATTTTAAGAAGGTTTTATGTTGTTGAATTTTTCGGTCGATCTCAATGCTTCATTATTAAAAATAATAAACCAAAAACGTAATTCCGCTTACAATTGTAATCAGATAATCGTGTCCTATGTTTGCTATATTTATAGTGCTATTGTATCAAGTAAAAAATTCACGTGATCATTAAGTTTTATTTTCAATTTTAATCTGCCCATCACTGGTTTTGTATTATCATTAAGTTTGGCAGATAAGGTTGTTTATTAATGGACTGCTCTATGTTTTCGTTAAATTGAATGATTCATCCACACCCTTTTGCCATGTAGAGAAAAAAAAAATTAATTGTGGGTCATTTACCTTTTGATCAATATTTTGCTTGACTACCTACGAAACCTATGCTTGCTAAAGATAAATTTATCAACTTGACATTTTGTTTTATAAAGGATTGTTGTGTTGGTATGAAAGCGAAGACAATGCTGAGGGAGACGTGAGCTCCTCATGTAATGGAGTTTTACAGGAGTTGTTATTCAATAATCCCCCAGCTAATTCTGAGCTCTTTGTCACTAGGTTATCGAGTTCCCCCTCAGTTTAATGGACCTCTTCTCTTCGAGGGTCATGGAACAGTATTGGTCTCTTCTCAGGAAGGAGGAAGCGCTTTAATGCTGAGTTTAAAGCCATCCAAGTTCCTATTTGACATAACTTTCGTATTAGTTGAGTTACTGAAATTTCTCCCAGTCGATGCAGAATTGGGATGAAGTGCCTTTGATGAGTTTATTGATTTTATCTGGTTCTTTTTAACTGGGCGACTTATATTTCAGATGAAATTCATTGTATTTTTAGTAACCTTTCTGTAAGTAGACAACAAGTATCTATCCACTGGACAAGGTATTTCATATGGACAAACAATAAGTGTTATCGCACTCTTTGGGACAAACTTAATAAGCATTGGCGGTTATCTTGGAGATAAATCAGACATTTCAAGCGTAGTGTTGACCATGCAGTCTCCTAGGAAGACTGTCATGTCTCTAATTCCGCACCTCTGTATATATCCACCTATATATTTTTAAAATATTTTTACTTCCTTTCTTGCTCTAATGATTCGAAGATTTATTATTTTATTATAAGAATCTACTGAAGTTAAGGCAGTTCATAGGTACATGACAATATAAGTAATTGTTGAGGAGTTGGTAAGAATGTATGGTGTTTACGATAGGACCTGATCAAGCAGCTCGGAAGAGCAGTGGTGAATAGATCTAAGTCGCCGAGGAGGAGTTCCTGCCTTCTGGAAGTTCCGTCTCCGTCGTTCAGGAGTCGGAGCAGATCCTTAGACGATGGCACCCGGAAGCCTTCCGACTGTGAGGCTACCTACCGGATCTACGACCAGATATTGGCTGAAGGTATTGTCTTATCTCTTGTGGAATCGACACGACAGTTTGTTTTTTCCTTTATATTCTCGTATACAATAAATATTTAAATGAATGTTTCCAAATACTTTATGCATGGATTATTTTTATTGTTTATATCCATGCAATGTATTTTTATTTTATTTTCTAAAAATTTTATCTTGAATTTATATGTTTAGTTAGTAATTATCCAAGTAAATATCCTTAGTTAAAATGGCAGTGTTGCATGTATGTATTTTATGTTTAATGCATATTCAATTGAATTTCCAAATTGATGTTTATATTGAATTAGATTGTGTTTTTCTTTCAGTGAACTGACTTCCTTTAAATGTTGCATGATCTAAAATTTTTACGACTATAATACTGTGCACTTAATTGTCGAACGTTTATAAATGATATTTATTGTTATTGTTTAGTTTTATATAAACGTTTGGGTTTGGTCGCATTTATGATACAAAAATTGGTCTTATCACGTGGAATAATGAACCCTGAGAAATATACTCTATTCAAAGTTTAACTAATATCTATTTTATTTCAGAGGTTAGATTTTTTTTTAATGCTTACAAATGAAACATCTTTCAATTAACTCATAATTTAATTTTCTGATTTATTTTCATGACTATTTTTTAATTTTTACTTCCTCTTTACCGAAGGTAGGGAAGCTTTGTGTTCATGTAGGAGTTTATTTTTTTTTTTTTTTAATGTTTCGAAGAACAGATTTGATTCCGTGTCTATCTTCAGTTGAATCCATGTCGATCGTATATCACCTACTACCGTTAATCCTCAATTACGTACACGTAAATGAATTTTCTTAGATTCACTCATATATCAAAAACGGCTCTGCACAGGCTAAGATAGGCACTGATCATAATGGAAAGGGATGTTAACTATATACTATTGTTATTGAGGTAATAGATTATTCATTTTTTTTCTTTCTGTTGTCGAATAAATGTGACAGCATAACTCCTACTGCCGTTCATTCGATTTGATGAACTTTTCAGAGATTGCGAAGGTTGATACCTAGATGTCCCAATACCGATTTTATATTCCATCTACTCCATTTACTTGCTTGTGTTTTTCTTGACAAGACCATACCTCATTAGCAGCTTTTTTATTTTTTTAAATATGTCATAAACCAATAGAAATAACAAGGAAATCGTACTGACCTTGCTTTTTTTGGCATTTTTTAAAAATTTATTTTGGAAATCTATAAGCGAAATGCACGTTCTATATATATTTTAGCGGTATTTAATTCATTACATCGGTGGAATTGTTACGCCTGAAGAACGATCCATCGGCTGAATCCTGTGATCAGATTTAAATTCCAATCCATCAAATTGTGACTTAACTGGCACAAGTGTCAACTCCCCTTCATGAATTTGCTTGCCTCAGTGTTAAACCACTTTCATCTTTGTGAAAGGTCGAATTAACAAAATTCAATACTTGATTGCAGAACCCTATATCAGAATATTTATTTCCATATGTTTGCCAATTTGAATATTTTTTTAGTATTTATACCAAGCGGTTTTAGAAAACAATGTAGGAAATTGCAGTTTAGTTTTTAAAATTAATGCTATTTTTAGCCATTATTATAAAACTTGGGGAGTGGGCAAGTAGCTGAGCGTGTAAAGTAGTGGGTAAGGATTCGCCATCAACTCAAAAACTAAGTTTGATTCAGAAAGGCCAAAATCGTGGATTTATCAACTTTGGAAAGTATTCAATTGGGACGGAAAATAATCTCTTATATTGTAAGGAGTAATCTTAAAAGTTAAGTAGACTATCAATTTACTATTACGAAAGTAAGATAATTGCCATGATTTGTCTCAAGATTTGTAACATAATTTTAAACAACCAATTAAGGCCGTGTTATAAGAACTAGAAACAGAACCAAAAATTTTTGGTGATAGCCATATAAGAATAGACAGTCAACTAGTCCTGTTCAACATTGTTTTTGTCTCAAAAGTGGTGCACGTTCATTGACTTAGTTGTAAAAATATATGATGTCTCGACAGACGTGATTTTTGCACCAATGGACAAAAGAGTTTCTATTGACATATGATGTAGTCTTTACCATACGTTATTTGGCATACAGGAGAGGATTGGTGCTATATTTGCTCCTTAATTCTTGTCTACTCTAGCTCGAGATCGACGAGCTCGATATACGAGAGCTCGGGAGCGATTTTACTTGAGCGACATTCAAATAAAACGGAAAACATAAAAGATCGAAATACTAACTTGTTGCTCTTCAAAAGTCAGCCAATATTGAGGGTGTTAGCCGTTATCCTGGATTTTGTATACCAATTCCCCAAATCTTATAATTTTTTTTATAATTTTTTTTTATTAGTCATTTTTTCGTAATTAATTGTCCTATGTAACTTGAGTAAGTTTGCTACCTAAGGGGCGAAGTGATATCAGGGAAAATAAGGTGCTATAGAAATGGAGCGATCATGGAACTCCTAAGAACTCGACGAGGATCTCCTTTCCTCTCTGTTAGCTCCCTTCCACTGTGTATCGATGCTCACCTGTCAAAGTCTCAAGATATTTTGGATTGAATAATTGTCCGATTGTATGGTGAACTTGTTACTTTTAATATTTTTATAAGAACTAATTTATTTTTCTAAAATAGATAGAATTTGCAACTTACATTTGTTTCTTGTTTCGCAGGTGCTCTGAGACGCAGCTCACTCGAGAAGAGAAGACTCAGCCTCGGTGGTGGTGTGACCGGGCACAGGGGGTCTGAACCTTCCTTGGACCCCAACCACGCAGCAATCCTCTTCAGGGATTCCAGGGGTGTAAGTATTCTCAATCAGCTTAGTGATCCTAGTGAATCCTGACCTCAATAGTGAGCTATGGTATCACCACAAGTATGTAGTTTTGTATATGTTATGGCCCGGACTGATTCTCTACCAACCCAATCTGGTTAGAATAGGTTTCGTTGTATCTCCTGAACAACCCCCACCCCGTATACCAGAAAAGGCGAAGTTGAGGTTAAACGGAAATATATGTATTTGTGCTTATCAAGGTAATATCATAATTTGTTTCTCTGAGATTCCCAAACGCTTGTCCCTCCTCAATGTCAACATCGAATAACCTTTACACCAATATAAACTATGAAGTACGTAAATTAAATAAACAAAAAGTCTTCAATTTTAATGATTTTTCATAAAAATGGGATCAAAAAACTGTTTTTTGTATTGAAAATATGTTCCATAAAAATTAGTTCAAACGTTTCTGTTGAAACAGAGTCAAAACCTCTTCAATTGAACCAGTGCTTCATATTCGTCATTCCCGTTACACGTTACTTTTAATTTTTGAAATTTCTCCAACCAATTATCATACAGTCAAATACTTTTGGAGGACATCAATTTATTATAAAATTGGTGTTGAAATATTTCAAATTCATTTTTAAGAAATTGAATGACTCCATTTAATTCGAAATTCTCCTTTATGTCAGGCTTTAGCTTCATTCGACTGAATTAAAATGGGTAATAATATTAATGTAAAAATGAAATAATTTGGTATGATGTTTGGTGTGAGTGTTACCGCGCTTTTGTACGCTTTGCTGGTATCTGAATAGAACTGGATGTGCCATTGTAGCAAGGAACAATAGGATGTTCCACCCTTGGAGGGCCATGCCAAAGCTCCAAGAAAACTCAAATTAAATTTTACATATTTGATGTTTCCAATCGGTCATTTAACTAGATCATATAATGATTAGATCATCGTTTGTAGTCAGCTTTTTGCAAAATATTCGAATGAAGTAATATGAAAGAGGCAATTATAAGTAGTTTACTAATTGGGGAAAAGTTCAATATAAAAAATAATTGTTTTGGAGCCATCACATTTCAAATAAATATGTGTTTTGTTAACTGTAAACAACGCATTTGAAACTTCAGAAGTAGTCAAAATGTGAGGCAAAAAAATCAAATCAGTAAAAAATCGTGTCTGACGTCGTTCGAGATATTTGATGTACTATTTCGATCGAAACTGGAATCAAACCAAGTGTAGATGTCAAAAATTGACATTAAAAAATATGAATTTCAAGAGATGGAAGAAAAATATGAAACATTATAAATGTTTTTTGAGATCTGGAGTCGAATGAAAATAAACCAGGCACACTGAAGCACCAGGGTTCCAAATTTGAGATGATCAATTCAAAAATATATTTTAAAAAAAGATATATTTTCGAACGACTACACACGCACAATACACGCAATACACTACAATACACTTGAAAATATGAATTTCAAGAGATGGAAGAAAAATATGAAACATTATAAATGTTTTTTGAGATCTGGAGTCGAATGAAAATAAACCAGGCACACTGAAGCACCAGGGTTCCAAATTTGAGATGATCAATTCAAAAATATATTTTAAAAAAAGATATATTTTCGAACGACTACACACGCACAATACACGCAATACACTATTTAAAAAAAACATTTAAATCGCCAATAAATGTTGGTGTACTTCTCATGGTTTTAAAGAGGCATATCTGGATACAAGTGTTGCTTGTATATATGTATTGAGCTGTAACCAGAAAAGCTTCCACTTCAATAATCTATTTCAAAAATTCAATTTTGACACATATCGACCTCTCCTACAAATACGAGTTCGCACCAATGATGGCATCAAATTTCTTGTTGATATTAATGAGGCCGAAACACGAAAATTGTTTGTTTTTCTCCATTTTACAACGCATCAATTCTGATCTGACGTTATGTTTTTTAGGCGATGAGTTCAATTTTTTTATTACGAAATTTCTGAACATTGCCATCAATGTGGCAGATTGTATTATTATTCATTTAAATTTGTAAAAAAAAATTAAAACATTTTTAGTCCCAATCAAATTGCATTGTTTTTGACAGTCTTTCAAGCCAATCTGAAAGAACAATCAGAGCATCTATGCTTTTTTTTTTTTGTTACTTCATATTTTTTTGTGCTATACTTTGTTTTCTTTGAAATATTTTACAGTATCCTGAAAAAAAAATATTTGACTAAATTTCTTTAAAGCATCCCTAATTATTAATAAATGAAATTCACAAAGTTTTGACTGGATATTTAAAATTTAGGAGATGACCAAATGTTTAGTTTTTACCATGGATCTTTACAAGGGTGCACTCCTTTTAAACTTTTCATTTCGAAAATTCATAACCTCTCCGGTCAAAAATTTTGATGGTGCAACTTGCACCATGAAATTTCCTTGTGGGCACCCCTGGATTGTTGAATAAAATAAAATGGTAAAAGAATGGTATTTGTTCACACCGTGTGTTTTGAACCAATCAGAGTAGTCTTCTATATCCTTTACAGATCACAAAATAATGAGTGCTAATGTGACCCTTCAATAAAAAAATTAATTATAAATTTGATTTTTAAGTAGGTTGTTTGTTTGTTTTTTTAGTCACATATCAGCCACTAAGGACCACGCGAATATCATTGGTTAGGCTTCTTTGGGAGTTTTGGTTTTCTTTCTTCCTCTTTCTTCAGACCACTTTGTACCCCTCCTTTTTTCTCTTCCAATATTGGTGAGATTTTTCAGTGTTTTCTTGTATGTGTCTCTATCTAGTCAGTCGGCATCTGAAATTTTAAGGTTCTTTAATTCTTCTCTTATTTGCTTCGTGTATCCTCCCATGCATTTTTAGCTAAACATTTTGTTAAAGATCTTTTTGTTCAGTCTTTCCTCCTTCATCCTTTTCATATGCCCATAGTACATCAGCCTTCTAATTCATATCTTGGTTTCCAGGTCTTTGATTTTTCTTAACATCCTCCTTTCTATTCTCAGCACTGTTTCCAATTAGGGCAGGCATGTGGTCTCCATCTCATATAAAATCACAGGCTTTATCACAACGTTGTAATACCTTAACTTTGCATTATAGGAGAGGTTCCTTTAATTGTAAATTGTGCCTGCTTGAAAGCTTAAATTTTGTTTAGTTTTGTGATTTTCTCTCGAATGCTCTCTTTCTCAGAACCGTTGTAACATATTATTTCCCCCAAATACTTAAATTTTCTCGTCACTTTTATTTTTCCATATTTAGTGTTTACTGCTTTTTTCTTGAAATTTATTTCAGTAGTCGTGATTTCTGTTTTTTCGTATGATATTTGCGGACCTGCTTTTCCTGCTATTATTTGTAGAATATTTATTTGACTAATAGCCTCTTCTTCTGATTCTGCTAAAGTGCGAGATCCTCTGCTAACACTAAATAACTTTTATATGATTGTTTTTGTTCCCTACTGTGGCTCCTGAGCTATTTTTCTCAGAATTCCTTCATAATTTTATCCAGGACTATGTTGAAAAGTGTGGGATACAATTCATCGCCTTGTCTTAGCCCTGGTTTTATCTGAAAAGGTTTGCTTATAAGATTCTGAAATTTCACTTTAGATTTTATAGCTGTCAGAGTCAATTTTATCAGATTTATCGTTTTCTGGTCTATTCCATATTCTTATAGGATTTCTCATAAAATTTCTCTATCCGCTGAATCGTAGGCCTTTTTAAAATCAACAAAGGAAATGTAAAGATTTTTCCTTCTGGTAGTGTAGTATTTTATGAGCAATTTGAGGCTTAGAATTTGCTTCTAACAGCAGGTTTTATACTTTTCAAGAAACTTTTGTTTAATATAGTGAACTGGAAAGTTAGTTTCTGTCTACATTAGAATTTAGTCTTTTATTAATTTAATTAAAGATTTTTAAAATATCTTCTTTACTCAAGTAAAAATAGAATATTACAAAGTCAGATAAGGCTGCATCGTGTTTTAAATTTTTTTTTGTTTTTATTTTTTTAACATTGCATACACAAACAATTGAACCCTAGTCCACTGGAAATACTTCTATATTGGCCCATGCTACAGATCTACCTTCTTAACTAATTGTTAACATCAATAATCATTGAATACTTTTTTTTTATAATTAAGTAAGATTTAGTGTTTTTATTATGCAATATAATCTATAAACAAACTTATATAAATTTGGTATTGGTATTATATTAAAAAAATAATTACGAGTTGTCTTTGATGCAATGCAGTAATTTATGGTGGGATTGGATTAAAAAAAAAAAATGACCGTTTGAGAACAATCTTTTTCAATTTTAGAAAAAAAAATTAAAAGACTACGAATGTTTGAAATTAATAATATCTTGTCAAATTTAAGACAAGAATATTTTTACTTTGATAATTTTCAGTGGAAAACATTTTATTGCCTTGGGTAGTTGATCATTCAAAAGCCAGAGATACAATAAGAAAGCTAGAAAATTATTTGAATTTGATTATTAAAATAATTTGATATATTCATAAACATCAAATATATTTATATTTACTGTACATAATCTATTCTTTTTATTTGTATGGATTATATGTATCTTTGGCTAGAAGGATGCATTATTTTTTATGTTAATGACTTATTTCATTCAGTCTGCGGTATTAACTATGAATTCTCTAGGAAATACATAAAAATCAGCTTTCACGGTTCAGAATTGAACCAGCATTTCCTTCTGGTTCAGGATTGTCCAATTTCTGTGGTGTTAGTCCAACACCCTCTGCCTCAGAGAAAAGTATTTCATGTTTTCTATGATTTTCCTATTAATTGTCACCATTTCACAATTTAAATTAATTATTATCTTGCATCAGCTTAAAATTTCAGTATATACCATTTAACTTAAGCATCCCTTTTATAACTCATGATCAATACTTAGTAAATTAGCTTTCAGTGCATTCATTATCATTAATACACACTGCTATCATCAAAATTTTCTAATAATTTTTATTGGTAAGATTAAATATCAGACAACTGATGGAACTATCACGGACCTGTAAAAATAAGTTTTGCAACTTGTCCCAAATGGTTGTGTTTAAAAACAAAATAATGTATAATTTGATTCCATATTAAGGAAAAATTAGTGCATTGAATATGTTCTGTTTCAGTTACCTGTCGCAGACCCTTTCCTAGAAAAAGTCAGCATCTCAGATCTTGGTAAGTTAAACTTTAATCCTTAATTTTACATATAACAGCTTGAATTGATAATTATATATGTAATATATACTGGAAGGTTTGAAAAGAACAAAAACTTATTATTTACTTTCACTGCCATCAATGAAATCTTGTAATCAAATTCTAGTAATAAAAATAGGGTTTTCCTGTGGCATAGTCCAGTGCACAGCTGTGCACCTTCCATAGTAGAACTGTGCCATAATATTCTCTTTTCAGTCCAGCGGCTCTCAGAAACCACCAAGACTCTCCCTCAGCAGGAAGGTAGAGCCAGAGCCGCAACTAAATATATCGGGTCTTCTCTATTATTTCCAACACCTTTGACAAGGGCTCTCTCTACTCTCAGCACAATGCCTTATTTCGTCTAGCACCTTCCCTGACCTCATACTCATTTGCCTTATGCCTGCAACAGCCACGCCATCTGCATGTACGGTCTATCTTACATATAGGTTTGATATGACCATATTCCAGACATTTCAGACACAAGGGAGCATCCAAATAGTTGTTAACATCCAATGTCCAGAAGCTGCAGGAGACTGCAGGATTTGTAAGACTGCTGTTCTCATAGACGAATGAACCTCTACTACTACCCAGGTTTTCTTTAGGTTCCCTCCCTCAATATTAACAAAACATGGTCTGATCCATTCTTTCCTGTTACACTCTTCTGAAGGTCTTCTTATTCTGCTGCTTTGAAGTTTTCTCTATAAAAAGTCCTCCAAGTCAGAGGATTTTCAGTCATTGGGTACTCCACTGACTTCTAGCTTCGTTCTCTTTGTTCTTGCCAGGTTAACTTTTAGTCATTTATTCTTCAAAGCTTACATCTCCACCATCAGCATCTTAGCTTGCTCTGCTCCCTTAGTCTTCACCAGGACAGCTGTGGTCCTGTTGGTGAATCCTATTACTTTAGCAGTAACCTGTGTATCCTGTTGCTCTTCTTCTTTTAGGAGAACCTCCCATATGTTTCTCAGTTACCAGTTTTCTCCTTCATCCCTTATTGTGACATACATGGGGGCTTCTTCTGGTGCTGTTGGAGAGGGACGATTTGCCATTGTCCTTAATATGCCTGAATAGTATGTAAGCTTCTGATGTTCTACTTTCTCAATCCTCTTCGCTCCATCCTGAATTGTTGAGGTAGCAATTAGTTTCTTCTTTTTCCTTCTTGTTTTCTTCACTTTCGTCTCACCAAGGTGCATTTTATCATCTTCTGATTCATCATGGTATGTGTTTGGATCCTGATATTTCACCTTGGGAAGTTCTGCTTGAGGTTCAAGCTTCTCTTGGTGAATACTTTTCCTTCTGATTCACCTGGATATTTTCTGGAAGACCTGGTGAGCCTTCACTTGTAATGGCACATTTTCAATGATTCTCCCCACAGGATAAGATCGAGGTATTCCATCCCTCCTGCTAAAACCTGCACCTCATGAAACATACTTTAGTATTATTCAGTGATTCACAGCAGAGCCATACGCCTGAGTCACTGCCAAACTGAGTTTTTATTTCGTTTTACATTCGAAAATGGTGTATTTTAATTAAAGAAACATTAGTCTAATAAAAAGAATCATTCGCATTGAATAAATAATTGTTCTTGGAATTAAATTACAAGTTCTGAGTAATTTTATTGAATAGAAATATGTTTTTTCAATATATCTGTGACTAATATACTTACCAATATTCTATCCTTTATATGAATAATATTTATTATTCAAATAATTGAAGATTTATTTTAAATTACATTTAATTTAATTTAATTTTTTCAGAAGAAGATGAGAGCCAAATCTTTGTTAAGTTTTTCAAGTTCCATAGATGTTACGGATTGATTCCCACAAGTGCCAAACTTGTTGTTTTTGACACTCAACTTCTAGTCAAGAAAGCTTTTTTCGCTCTTCTACATAACGGTATGTAATATATTCTTGGCCATCAAGAAGTACTTTTTGAAAAATGATTTTTTATTTATTATGATTAATAATATTTAGTTTTTTTTTAAACGTTAAAGTTTTGTAGATCATAAAAGTTAGTTGTGCAATTGTGTTTTAATTATTATTGTATTATATTTTAGGTGTGAGAGCAGCTCCGTTGTGGGATTCCAGTCAGCACAAGTTTGTTGGAATGCTTACAATTACTGATTTCATAAAAATTCTCCATATGTACTACAGATCAGGAACCATGTCATTAGAGCAAATGGAAGAACACAAACTTGATACTTGGAGAGGTTAGGATATAATATATTGTAATTTTATTTATTTATTTTATTTTCAAATAATAATTATTCTTATCGAGTATCAGGTCATTTTGCTATAATTTAATAAACCACATTAATTTTAGTGTTTATTCTTTTTATTTGATGACATTTCGATCCCGTTTTTCATATAAAAATAATGGGATCCTCTTCAATACTGGGAGAACGATTAGCCATCATTGGTATACAATTACCCGTTTTTATATATTTTAACCAATAATTCTAAATTTATCTTACTTTCTTAAATCATCAAGAAACAATAATCCAAGCTAGACAGCGCACTAACAGTCTCAGCACCGCCTTCCAGCACAGACATCAAGCTAGTGAGCTGTCATGTGTCTACCCATGTGTTCCTGGAACCAGAAGCCTAACAAAGATAAAACAACTGAAACATGCATCTACAATAAATATATCAACATCAATAGCAAAAGCATCCACAGCAATCCTTGGTCATTAATTAAAGTATTCAAATGATTAAAAACAGCAAATCAATATATATTATTGAACTAACATTAAATTGCTATAACTCATAACTTAATAACAAACACATTAAAATTTACATAAATATGGTTTCTATTTGATAAATTGTTTTCGATCTATCACTAAATCAACAAACACCAATAAAATTTTGTTAGAATAAAATCAAACTCAAATAAATCTAAATCTTGTATATCCACTAAATATACACTGTTTAAATTTTGCCGGTAGTGGAACAGTCAAATTTGTATAAAGAAAACTGGATTGAAACATAAAATAAAAAGAATAAATATTAAAATTTAGTTTATCAAATTATAACTGAATGACCTAGTACCTGATCAGAATAATTATTTTAAAATATAATATTTAAGGGTCATTAAAAATTTTTGAAAAAATTAGTTTTTGTATTGTAGTTGATTTTATACATTTAGAAGAGAAAAAAAAAACTGTTTTGATATTTAGATTAGTAAATTGAATATAGATAAAAAAAATTATAGCAAAGTTAATAAATAATTTGATAATTTTTTAGATTTGAATACAAAATATTCAGTCCTTAATAAACTATTTTCATTCCTTGTTTTCAAAAGTGTAAATATTTAATGGCAGATTAACTCCCATTTTACAAATTATACAACTGTTCACTTGGGGCAGAGTGACCAAATGGGCTAAAGTGTGTGCACAGCACCGTGAGTTGCCGGGCAACCAGATATATGAAGTTTTGAGAGACAAAAATAAGTACGAGTTCGCGTCCCGGTGCCGGAGGAATTTTAAATTCCCTGCCCTCACCCTCTGGCCCGGGGAAATCCCATATAGCCTAAATGGCGAGGTAGGGAAGAACAAAAAAAAAAAAACTGTTCACTTCATTCTGCTACTCGTTGCTCAAATTCTATAACTTTAATTTATATGTATTCTGTAGTTCAGATTGTATTATTTTTTATCTACATAAAAAAAAAAACCATTTCTCCATACAGATTTTTAGTCTAAAATCTTTATTTTGTATTAGGAGAGTAGGAGGTAACAGGAGCTCAACAAATATGCAATTAAATGAACAGCTGTATAATTTGTAAAATATTCACCATATGAAAAGTTGAGCTTCTGTTGATCTTCTACTCTCCTAATACTAGAATAAAATAAAATATGAAAGTCACTTTTTTATATAATAGAGAGATTAATCAAAATTAGTTTATAAAGATTTATTCAAGATTAAAATATTATTTTATTACTTCTGTCATACAAAATAGAATAAATTATATTCATGGACAGTGAATTATAAACCAGCATATAACGTAATTTAAAATGTATTAGTTTTTTTCATCTAATGAAATATCCTAATCAAGGTATGTACCAAAACTTTTTTATGAAATTTTCCGACTTTACTAGGTCATTTGTGGATAAATTTCAAGGTTATCAAAATAATTGTTAAAAGTCATTAATATATATAATTTTTCTTCATGATTCTTAAATACTATAAGGCAATAAATAAAGAAGGCAAAGAAATTAAGTTAAGTCAATTGCTCCTGATAAGGAGGAAAAAATGTTTATAAAGTTAATATTAAATTTTAAGTATTGTTTTAGTTTTTTTTTTTTTCCTAATCTATTTTATGCAGTACAACAATACAAGAATTTTATAGCCTGTTGGCCTTCCCTTATTAAGAGGGTAATGGTCTAACTTCCCGTAGGAGCCAGCCGTAGTGGGAAGTAGGGCCGGGATTCGATCCTATGATGTTTACATTATTAGGATAGCACGCTAACCACTCTGCTATACCAGCCCCTGTTACATTAATATTTTTCAAAACCAAAAAAAAATTTATATTATGGATTTAATAAGAACTTCTGCTATTGCTCTTGCATTTATCTTTATTGTATTTAAGTTGTTTTGTTCTTTCTCTTTAACTAGCAAAATGTAAGGCTTTTATGTATCCTTTAATGTTATATTTCATTTACAATTTATTAAAAATATTTCCAGCGCTGCTGAAGGATTCGCCTGATCTGGTCTCAATTGGTCCCGATGCTTCATTATATGATGCCATTAGGGTCTTAATTCAGAACAGGATACATCGGCTTCCTGTCATTGATCCTGAAACTGATAATGTTCTTTACATCCTTACCCACAAGCGAATTCTCAGGTTTTTGTTCCTTTATGTAAGTTATTAAATGTTCCATTCATTTATATCTTTTCATATCTTAAGTTATATTTTTCATAATCTACTTAAATTCATCCTGAGATGAACACAAAATTTAGAAGCTGTTTAATTAGATTAACTTTTGACTAATTTTTATTCTTTCAGATAAATGACCTGCCAAGGCCAAGTTATTTGGATAAAACTTTAGCGGAAGTTGGCATTGGCACGTATGATTGCATAGAGACTGCATTTGAAGATACAACAATCATCGCAGCACTTGATAAGTTTTTAGATCGCCGTGTTTCAGCTCTCCCTGTTGTCGATTCAGAGGGAAAATTAGTCGATATATTCGCCAAGTTTGATGTGATTGTAAGTATCATAATTAGAATTGAACTATCAGATTTTAATTGTACTCATTTTCTTACCTTAAGTTTGAATTAAAAAAAAATACAAGAAAATGATGATGAAATTTGTTATATTATAATTTTTGAGGGGATTTAAAGTCCTTATTTAATCCAACAGGGAAAATGGGTTATCTAACATTTAACCAACCTATTCTTGCAGGAATGACAAAGTCGAAATTTATTCTGAGCATCTGCCACAAGATAAATGTCATCCTTCGGGCGGATATGGGCAAATGCTTGTCTGATTACCGAGTACCAAATATTTTACTCAAATACTGACCTTTTTTGAGTACCAAAGAATTTGATAACTACTTCATTTGATGTCAAACGATTAACTGAAGTAGTGATTCGATTTGAGTAAAGTACTTGCTATTCGCTACTTAGAGAAGCATTTGCCCATCTGTCTTCGGGCAGGTTGCACCTTGCTATCCATAACCACCACAAGCTTGGCTGGGTCTTTTTTAAATTCTGTATTGACCCTGAAAGTTGTTTGAGATTAATTGTCAAATATCGACTACTGATATTTATCAATTTAATACACTAACAAAAATAAAAAGTTATAATATATCCAGGAAAGGCCATTTGCCTCGAGTTTCCACTCACTAAGGGCAGGAGTTTTATTTTTAAATTGAATTATAACTTTGTTGCAAAAAAAAAAAAAAAAAACTACAAAATAATATCTTTAATCAAATGGGAACTTTTTTTAGTTCTCATAATTAATCCACTTTAACTAAAGGATCACTTTTTATTTACTTGATTTATTTTTTTAATGGGAATTCCTCAAATATTCTACTAAAGATTATAAAGAATAAAAGTTATAATATAAATAGATAAACTTGATGAAACTTTTTTTACATTTAAACAATTAACAACAAATGTTTGATACATATATTGAATGCTAAAACTCATCACAATCATAAATAAAAACAAAAACTCCTAAAGCATCTGTTGTTTTTTTTTAAAATAAAAATATTTAATTAATCATACTGTAACGAAAACATTTTAATTAAATTATACTATATCAAAATATATGAATTGAATTATACTGTACTATACGAATTTACAGTACTAAAACTATCCTTTTCTAATTTTAAAGAAATATAAAATTTTGAACACTAATTATAGCACGCTACATTCACCCCCACACTACAGACAACAAAGATCAATCACAGTACTGCCTTCCGTAGATCAGATGGACTGGACAGGGTAGCTACAAAAAGGGAAAGTACACAATGTATTATAGCTGTGATGAACGCCTTCATACATTATTTGGTACAGGTCTTGTAGTTGGTAGGAGATTAGCTCAACAAGTAATTGATTTCAAGGCATAAATTCTAGACTCTACATGCTCTGATTCAAAGGGAACTTTTACAATATCTCCTTAATTTGCGTTTATGCTCTCACTGAAGTATCAGTGGAAGATGTAAAAGACTCTTTTTACGAGGATCTAGAAAGATATGTGGATAGCTGTCTATGACATGAAACTTATACTCGGATACTAAAAGGCACAGATTGGCAAAGAAGATACTTATCGACCCACAATAGGACTTCATAGCCTGCATTTTATGTCAAATGGTAATGGGAGAAGACTAGTACATTTTGCTGCCTCAAATGGACTTTCGGCAGCATGTGTTTTCCTCATAAAGGAATACTCTGTCTACTTGGAAGAATTTGGTGTAAATAGTCAGGTAACAACCTCACTCACTCTTTGTTGATTTTCAACAAGCATATGATTCTGTTAACAGAGATGAGGCCTGCAGAGTGATGATCGACATGAATATTCCATTAAAACTGGTTCCTGCTGTGAGGATGATGATGGAGGACAACATAAGCTTCAGAAGAATGAATGGAAAACTCTGGAGAGGATTTTCCACTGTTTGCCTAGTATTCAACCTCTCTCTAGAGAAAGCTATCAGAGACTCTGGTATCCAGACAACTGGGACCTTAAATAAGACAATACAGATTCTTGGATAGGCTGATGACGTAGACCTAACTGGAAGTACTCTCAACGCATAGGAATACCTTTCGTAGCACCAGAACATCAGTAGGATTAGGACTCATCACAAATGAAGAAAAAACGAAATATATGAGTACTCTACATCAACGTGAAAATGATGAGAGCTACGTTCTGCTAGGAAACCAGAGATTCAAAAGGGTACAATCATTCATCTATCTAGGAACCCAAGTGAACTCTCACAATAATATGGAGGAAGAAATACTTAGGCGAATACTCCTAGCAAACTCCACATATTTTGTCCTCCAAAAGCTGTTAAAAAGTAATGCATTATGTTGGAATGCAAAACCAAGATTTTATAAGACGCTTATCCGACCCGTCCTTACTTAAGGGACGGAAAGTTGGACATTGATTGATTAATATTTTTATTGTCTTAGGGCCTAGGACCCTTTCTTACAGACAAAAATAAAGTGACATTATTGAATTACCATTTTTCAATAGAATATACAATATACAATGTCCCTTATTTATAATAATTTTTATATTTTGATTTTAATGTTAGTAATTTTTTTTTAATATATATTAAGATTTAGTATAAGTGTTAGTAGTATATAATAAAGAACCGGAAAGAATACAACGAAATTAAATAAATAAATAATTTATACATTGAAATAAATAATAAATACAAGGACATTGACCAAATACCAAGAACAGGTCCTTATCAGATTTGAGAGAAATGTGTTGAGAAGAATATATGGTGATGCCTGTGAACAAGGGACTTGGAAAAGGAGAAATAATACTGAATTAAGGACTGTATTTGGAGATGTTGATGTATGCACCTTAATAAAGTTGTCAAGGCCTTGTTGGGCAGACCATGTTGTTAGGATGGAACCAAGTGAGCTTCCACATAAAGTTTTTTCAGAGCATGTATATTGAACAAGAAAAGTCGGGTGTCCTAAACTTCACTAGGAAGATGGAGTGGCTACGGACGCTAGGTCCCTACTTGGTATCTGGAACTGGAAGGTAACGGCTGGAAACAGAGAGGAATAGCAATCTATAATTGAGCAGACTTTGACTGAATAAGTGGGTCGTAACGCCATGTAATAATAAAATTTTGAAGGGCTCTCAAAAGTAAAGCTGTTCCAGATGCCTACAAGTAAGGGAGGGGACCCCACACGAGAGGGATTTTTATTTTGGTTTTGGTACACCACTGATATATATACATATTTGTATATATAAAAATGTATTACAACATATTTAAAATAAAAATTACAACGTTTTTAATTTATTGTTATAAGTTCCTGCAATATATACATATATATCTTGTTGCTTTTTCCTTACACTGCCCTACGACATTTTTTATTTTTAACTGGCTGTGCTGGCGTACTATGGAAAACTAGATCAATTTACTTTTAAAGTTATTAGTGTTATTTATAAAGCTTAAGGCTTCTTCTTTGTAATAGCTATACATTTCAGTCTATCAAATCCAAAATGAATTTTTCAAATGAAGCTGGTGGTTTCTGGAATTAGCACTTTCAAACAAGCAATGATAAATAATGAACAAAAATAAATAATTGAAAAAGATATTGATATTTTTGGATTTTAATTTGATATTACACTTCACATGTTTATCACTATGTTTAATTATTTAAGCTATAATTTTATCTTAAAATATGTATATTTTTAATTTTATAATTTATTGTGATATATTTAGAGTTGTAGGCTATTAAGTATTTACTGTGTTATATACATAATCATATAATAAATATATTTATTATAGAATTTGGCTGCAGAAAAAACTTACGACAAGTTGGATATGCCTCTAAAGAAAGCTAATGAAAACAGAAATGATTGGTTTGAAGGTGTACACAAATGCAGTATGGATGACACCTTGTACAGTATTATTGAACGCCTTGTTAGGGCTGAGGTAAAATCATTTTGAATTAATCATTCATAGGATAGAGTATTATTATATCTTCAGAGTCATTATTAAACATCTAAAAACATTTTTATTATCTTAATAATGATAATTTATTGATTTAGGCTTGACAACTGTTTATATATTTTTATCAGTGTAAGCTGAAATAATTTTATCTTTATTCTATTAATGAATACTATACTTGCAAAATTTCGCTTGTCTCGTTTTTATTAAAATAAAACTTTTACATTTCTATAATGAAAAAACTGTTCTGGATATTAAAAAAAAATACGTATAAAACCTGTTATAAGTTTTGAAGGGTTAATTTTTTTTTTCTTCTTCTTTAAATGGTGCTACAGCCCAATGTGGACTTTGGCCTCCTCAATGAGCCTTTGCCAGACTAATTCAATTTAATAACTTTAATTTGAGATTATTATAAACTGATTATATGGACTAATGTAAGCTTCTTTTATTTATAGGTTCATCGGCTGGTTGTGACTGATGATGAAGATAAAGTAATAGGAATCCTTTCTCTTTCAGATCTTCTACAATATTTAGTCTTGAGGCCGTGTGGTAATAAAAACTTTAAGTTATAATTGTTTAAGTAACTATTGAGCAATTAAAATTTTATTTTAATAGAACATATTTCATCTTCAATCAATAAATTGGTGGTATATGTATGGTATAGCAGTGGGATATACCTTTTAATTTCAAAATTATTTTCTTTATGATCATTTTCATAAAGAAATCACATCTAAAATACATAGAAATATACAATAAGTATTTTTAAAAATATATTATAAAAATAAACGTGGAACAGATTTTCATCATATTATCTTTAAATTTAATAATTTCTGCCTGTTTGCTTTCTGCATTTTAGACACACTTAAAGGAGTTTCAGAAATGTGTAAAATTTATATCTCACCTCCCAAAAAATGTTTGTTTACATGGATTGAAAACTGTGATTTTTTTATTCTATATTATAAAATAGAAAAGGACACTTCATATTATGGTCCATCACTCTTTGTCAATCATGGTCTTTAAATTTCATTAATTTTTTTTTATTTCAGGAGATGACATTGGTTTTGGAAGTCGGTGTGAGAGTCCTTTATCACAGCTTCAGTCAGAAGAAACCATTTTGGAAGGTGAGGAAGAAGAAAGTGATTCGCTCGAGCCACTGACTACTAATACAAATTTTACAAGAGAAGTCACAGTTTCTGGGGGAGAATAGCTTCAATGCTGAATTTGAGTGGTCAAGAATCTGAATCACCCAGATTTTATTCTAGAAAGTGGACAGTTGATTGATGTTAACAGACAACTCTTACATCTGAAAGACAATTTTTTCCTTACTTAAATCATTAGCAGAAGTGAATAGTTTTTATAAAGGATGAGCAAGTTAATCAGAATGGTGGTGGAGTTGTCCGTTCGGCATCATTCAAGAACAAAGAATGTATTTAGATTTGAGATTTTATTTATAACTGCAGCTCTGTATTAATTTTTAAAAAACAACAGCAAAAAACAGGCAGAGAACTGGGCTGAGATTGAAGCTGGAGTGGTTAAGGAATAGTAAAAATATTTTCTACAAATAAATTGAAAAATTTGTCATTATTTAAGTTTCCTATAAGCATATGACTTAGTTAGCCCCATATCACTTAATATTCTCAATTGAAAAAAAGTAGTGAAATTAAAAACAGTTGGCCTAAGTAAAGGTTGATATTTGCAGAAAAATTAGCTTATAGCACATATAAGATGTGAGGCTATTACATTTAACACTTTCCCCGCCTCGTTGAACTGTTATTTAGAATTTAGAATGATAATGTAAGGCTATCAAGTCCTCACTTACTTAAGACAGATCTCCAACTAGTTACCACAAAATACAGATTGTTACCGTGGAATAAACGGTTGTTAATTTATGAAACTCAGTTGGTAATATCTTATATATTTGTTTGTTTTTTCTTTTTAATAACAGGATGTTGTTTTTAAATCTCTGTACTTATAATCAGTCATTTTATGATTATTTAACATTTGATAAAAAATTGTAGATATTGCAGGTTCATTTATAGTTTTAATGATAGTAGAACAAAAATTATCAAGGGTTACTTTCAATTGTTTAAAAAATAAATAGTAAAATAATTAAACAAATATAAACATGCATTAATTATTCATAACTGGCATGACATGACATGATATCATTATAAAATTTGTTGGAAGACATGTTAACATCTCTAAATGACAATATTGCTTTGTTATAGTTCATGAATATACTTAATGCCCTTATTAAAACAAAACAAAAAGTATTGTCTATAAAATATATATTTACACCAAGAATTAAATAGATGATGATATAGTACTACGAAATGTGTATATATATCTGTAAAATATAAATAATAAAGTTATTTTTAGTTTACATTATTTAAAATTCTGAAATGAGCTTAGTTATGCTTGAAACTTGCTATGTTAATTTGTAAAAAAAAAAAAATAATAAATAAAAAAAAATTAAAGATATGTGATATTTTGTATCACTAATTGTTTTGTATATATTAGCGTACTTAATTTTTGTGTTCCTTATCTTTGTGAGATTGCCGAACAGAGATATGGAATTTTGGTTTTCAATACTTTTATGTGAATAAAATAATATAGAAAAGAGAAAGTTTATTTTCTTTCCCTTTTTGTATAAATTAATATAATAAACAAGAACCTTTTATTCAAAAAAATATTTTTTAGATTAATAACTAACTTTCTTTGTTTTTTCATCAATTAATAAATTTTATAATGGTGTGTAGATGGTTGGCCTTGATTATAATTTGAAAAGGAATTTGTTGGGGGTGCGATCTATATATAATACTACATATTATAATAAATCTTATATTAAACATGGAATAAAAAATGAGAACTTTAATATTTAAGACGTTATTTAGATTTCTAATGAATCTAAATAAGCATCAATATTGAAACATTCTTACTTAATAGAACTAGGCTTTTTTCCAAGGAAATGAAACCCTTCAAATCTATTCTTCTTCTTTTGCCACCTCCTTAGTGCCATCAGCATGGAGGAACAGCCTCCTCCACTGATCCCTGTCACTGACCCTCCTTTCCATTTAGTCAATACAACAGCCTGGGACTGGCTCCTGATCGCCTTCCCTCTGGTTTTGCTTCTAGGAACCATTTTGCCTTTCGGCTATCACCCATCTTGTACACATGGCCAAACCACCTCAGTTGGCGCTCCTCCATGACTTGTTTTACAGGCCTCATGTTCATTTCCTCTCGTTCATCCAGTGGTCTCTTCGTGTTTGTCCAAGAACTCTCCTGAGGTATCTCATTTCTATGGCCGTTACTTTACTTGCATGTTAGTCCAGGACCGTCCAACTCTCTGTACCATACAAAAGGACAGGCAGAAATACTGTTTCAAACAAAGCTATTTTTGTTTTCTTCTTTACCTCTTGTTTCCCTAATATTGTAGTGCAGATAGAGTAAAACACACCATTGGCCTTCTTGACTCTATTTAAAACCTCCTGGTCAATCCTCCGTCTCTGCTGAAAATCGTGCCCAAATACTGGTAGTTATCTACTTTTTCTAATGGCTCATTATTACATTTTATGAAAACTTGCTCTTCCACATCTCAGCCGACGAGCATCCTTACGAATCTTATTTTTTGTAGTGTTCATTTCCATTCCTTTCCTCTGCAGTTCTGGCCATTCATTGACAGCCATCTGAAGCCATTCTTGGGTGTCGGCAATCAGGACCACATCATCTGCATAAAGGAGACCTGTAAGGAGAGGCATTAAATTCCAGTACCCCACTGTTGCTCTGGATGTCCTTACCTAGTATTATTATAATACCTAAGTATGGCTCCGATTCAGATCCGTTAAGCCGCACTATTCCCTTGGGATTCTGGTATACCAATTTGATAGCGCTACTGAGATTGGATGTACCCATTTTTCCTGTAGAATATTCCAAATCTCTTGGCGAGGAATCAAATCAAATGCAGCCTTTAAGTCCAGGAATGCCCTTAATAGCCTTCTTCCTCTATCCCATGCTTTCTCAACAACCATTCTTAATGAGAAAATGTGGTCCTGGGTTTGCTTCCCAGGTCTAAAGCCAGCCTCTTCCAGATCATGCTCCACCAATCTCCTTAGCTTCTATTCCAATATTCTTGTATATAATTTATATTCAACAAAGGATAGGCATATTGGTATATAATTCTCACATTTTGTCTGGTTGCCTTTCTTGAAAATCGGAATCGTAATATTATTTTTCCAGCCCTAAGGTATTTTATTTTGCAACCAGATCTTTTGAAAGAGGTTCTGGAAGCACTTGACCATTTCTTCTCCATATTTTATAAAGTCTGGCATAATATCCCTGCCTGCTGCTTTACCCAATCTTTTTTTCTCCATAGCCAATGCAATAGTGTTTTTGCCATACTTTGAGAATTTCATTTTCATTTGACACCAGATTACCGTTATTGTTTTGGACACTTCGTACCTGTTTCCCTGTCTTCTCTCTTAGTCCATTTACAGTACTCCACAATTTTCTTTGATTTTCTTCGTAGTTAACTTGGATCTCCTTTCCAAATTCCTCCCAAGATCTTCCCTGACAATTGGCTTGGCCATGTTCCTTAATCAGACGTACTCATCCCAACAAGCTTGGGATTTATTCTGCTTGTATAGACTCCATGCTTCTTTCTTATCTTGTACTGCTTTTTGCACTTGATCATTCCACCCTCTAGTACTTTTGATCTGAGGCCTTAATTCCTTAATACCACATACCTCTGTTGCACTAGAAAGGATGATTGTTTTGATAAAAAGCCATAGGTTATTGAGTCATGTCATAATTGACTTCTTGTATATTTGTCAGTAGTGCCTCTCTATATCTTGTAATCACTTCTGGATCTCTGAACTTTTCAGCCGCAATTCATTCATATGCTTTGAAGTCTCTTCCGTGGCTTAGTAATTTTAGTATCAGCAGCAACCAGGCGATGATCGGTGCCTAACTCTGCCCCTGTAATTGCTTTTACATCTATGCATGTGAAATATCTATGCATTCCTCTGTCATAAATAATGTAATTTATTATGGTTTTGGCCTCCCTTCCTTCCACTTCAAAAGTAATTTTATGGATTAACTTATGTCTGTAGTGAGAATTTCCAATAAGCATATAATTCTCTATGCAGAATTCTATCAATCTCTGGCCATTATCATCTTTTACTTCTTCACCACCCCATAGACCTCCATGGGAGTTAACATTGTCCTGGCGTTTAAATCTCCACAGATAATAACCATTCTGTTCTCAACACGGCCTTTGTCAACAGACCTCTGCAGGTCTTCATAAAAGTAGTCCTTGTCAGCAACCAGTGAGTCTTCCGTAGGAGCATAAACTTGGATGATTGAGATTTTACCAATAGTGAGTTGGATTTTGGCAAATATGATGCTTGGTGACACAGCTTCTCAGCTTTCCCCATCCTGTCAAACAGTTCATCCTTCGTAGCAAATACCACTCCACCTTTAGCCCTCTCTCTCACATTCACTCCAGAGTATATCATTGTAAATCCATTTACCAGCTTTGTGACACTGTTTCTTTTCTTCTTAGTTTCACTGAGACCTATAATGTCCACTTTGTACTTATTGATTTCGCCAACAAGTTTGATCTCTTTACCAGAAAGGGTCTTAATTTTTCATGTACCTAGTCGAATATCCTCATCTGTGCCGTGTCTGTTACCAATAGACTGACCAGTTCCGAGGCAATTTGATCCTCTTTGAATCAGTTATATATCGGGTGGGTGATTGGCCCAAGCCCCAAAGGCCCCTTAACCTTGGGAAAACAGGGTCCTCTTTGTATTGGGAATAGGGAACCCTAGGTGGATTGCCTTGACCACGGCTTGTAGCTCCACCTGCCCCTTCGCAGTACAACAGCCGTTCTGCCGGTCTCCACCTCAACCTGATGATGTCTAAACATGGACCCAGTCCACTCTGTCTTCAGCTCCATGCTAGTACTGGTGCTCCTGCTGCCTCACACCAGGGATATTTATCGACCTCCCTGTCTAGATCCGCCATGTTTAGTCGAAAGCAGGGTCACTTCAGGCAGGATGTGGTTCTTCATCACACACGAACAGTCTTGGGAACTAGCTTCATACAGATCTCCACCAAGGCTTCACAGATCTCTCGGCTGGTGCCCCTGGCATTGGAGAAGGACCACTGTTTAGACTTTAGCAAAGGTACTACCTCTACCCAACCCCT